AGAGCCATAGGCTACAGTTTGGATTATCATTAATATTCACACTACACAAAACAAAGACAAAAATACTTAGGGCTGAAGGTTTGAGACTTTTGATCCACATCCATTGACCTGGGAGGAAGCACTCCACTAGCTTGGGTGGCTGCTCTGACAAGTCATATTCTATACATAATTTTCTCCAAACTCTCACAGTAAAGGAAGCCAGAGAAGCATATTTTTGTCACTATTAGTTACTTTGAAAGATGGCCACATAGGAGAAGAGCACATATCACCAACTGAGCTCTCTAAAGCCTGTTTCCCTCAATAGTGAGGAGTATAATATCATCCTGATGGTATGAGGACTAGAAATAATAGAGGCAGAGTATTTCTTCTGGTGCCTGGTGCACAAACATGAATGCAGCACTGGGACGCTGGTCTCCAGCTGTCTCATAAAGTCTCTGAGACTGGAGCTCAGCTGCATGCCACTCACTGAGTTGTGCTGCTAGGAGCAATGCAGAATGACAGCTAGTGCATGCATTTAGATCTGGGTTAGAATTTCTGTGTGTTCAAAAGTTTAGTCTTTCTTTTGTAGTTTCGTTACTTCCTTCCATTTTTCTATCTTTCCATACTTGCCTAGATGCAAAGATTCTGGGTTTGCTTGCCAGTTATATTCTTAGTTCTGAGGATATAGTAGCCAATCAGGAATGTGTGCCTTTCCTGTGGAAAGCAGGTTGTGGGCCTCAAGAAGGAGATAGTTAAGTAGATTTCATTTTACTGAAGTATTGGAAGAAGGAAGACTGAAGATAGTAAGATTTTCTCCCTCTCTCTCCTTTCCTCCCTATCTCCCTCCCTCCTTCCTCCTTCCCTCTCTCCCTTTCTTTCTTTTTCCAAAGGAATACTTTATTGCCTCTTGAGTTTTAGTTCTTTTCCCCCTATACAGTTTTGGTTCCATGCAGTCCGGCAGGCAGCAGGAGATCCATTAGGAGTATCTCTTCAGATAGTGGAGGAACGTTTGCCGATGAGGTGGTTACCACTTCCAAATGGATGCTCCACAGGATTCATGGCCACATATGCTATACTTGGCCAGCAGTACCTCTTTTCTTTGTACTTGTAGTGGTCTCAGCCGGCCTTTAAGATAGGTTTGCGAATTCTGCTCCCACCAGGCACTATACCAGTGGCTCTTTTGGCTGAAGAGATGACCTCTTGGACCCTGAAGAAAGCTTTACTCAGGGCTCCTTGGTCTCCAGGTTATGGGAGATGACTGTGTCATAGTTCTGGGAAGTTCATATCAGCTTGCCCCTGTCCCCAGGCTTCTCCTCCAGACAACACAAAATAGTACCCTCAGGCATGATATCCACAGATAAAATATTGCAATATTCAGCTGTGCCTTCTTGTCATAGTACATATAGCTTTCCAGTGTGGATTCCCTCTGTGACAATGAACAGTTCCATCTGCTTCTGAAATCAGTAGGGGTCATAGAAGACTATTTTCGTGAGAGGACTGCTGCAACCAGGGCCATGCTCTTATTATAGCTGTGCTGCTCAGTGAAGTCCACAGCAAGCAGGCATGCGGCACCCTCATGGTGTTTCATGTGTGCTTGGAGCATAGAATAAGCAAGCACAGCCAAAAATGAGGGCTTTTTCTTTTTATAAAAGTAAATGTTATTAATGTGCATTCACTATATTTAGTGTTAGATTTTATTACGATTTTCATTCCTGAGTATTATGCAATTTGATCATATTTACCTCAATATGTTCCTCTTTCTTCTTTTTTTCCAGTACACACATTCCTTTTCTTATAGCTCTCCATTGCCCCTCATATTGTGTATGTGTGTGTGTATATATATATATGTATATGTATATATGTGTATATATATGTATATATTTATGTCTATATGTCTATATGTGTCTGTATATGTGTATGTGTGTGTGCAAAGGTTTTGCAACAGTTGTCTTCTTCAATCTAGGTTTTTTTTTTTTTTGCTTGGTATGATGGCCACCATTAGCATCAATTTTCATGCAAATAATGTAATTTCATATTTATGATGAAATAAAACTCACATACACACATACACACACATACACCATATATCATATTTTATTTGTTCATTCATGTGTTGATAGTCTATAGAATGGCCATAGTGCATAGTGGGGGCAATATAATTTGTGTGGTGTGTGTGTGTGTGTGCACATAGGTTTCTGCATATGAGTGCAGGTGCCTATAGAAACTGGAAGAGGCTGTGGGATCTCCTAGAGCTGGAGTTCCAGGAGGCTGAGAATTGTCCAGTGAGGGTCCTCTGCCAGAGCAGCAAACACTAATAATCTGGGAGCTATTTCTCCAGCACTGAGACAATAGGTTTTAAGCCAAATGTTGCCACTATCCAATTTGAAAGGCTATGGTTGTGATACAGTGGTAATGCATAGATAAGAACTCATCAATGGAAGGGTACTTCCCCAAACAACTATACATGTAATAAATGAGCAAAAGAAAGAAGTACTAAGTCTAGCAGGGTGCAGTTTAGCAAGGCGCAATGCTCTACAGTAGGGAAACAAATTCTAGTCAATATGGATATAAGAAAGATTAAGTCTCAAAATGAGGGTATGATGTTTCCTGCAGAGATATCAAGGTCATGAAAATGAACATACTGGTTAGCATTGTGCTTTCATGTAAAATACCTAGAAGTTGTTTTTCCTTCTGATTCATGACTATAGATATTTTAGTGCATGCCTGGTTGGTTCTATAACATTTAGGCCTACAGTAAGGGAGTATATTGTAGTTGGAGTGTGGTGGAGAAGGCTGTTCAGTTCATGGAGGCTAGTAAACAGAAAAAGACAGGACTAGGATGGGGTACTAATGTTCTTCCTTCCTCTAGACTTAGCCACATAATGGTTCCCTGCTCTCAGTAAAAGCCAGTCTGATACCAAAGTTTCAGCACATGGGTCTTTGGATACCATTTGTCTAAGTAATAAGAATGAGTTAATGTCAAGAAGGAATACATGGACTAGCAAAATAATACAACAAAAAGGACTAACCAAAGAGGTCCTAATGACATGATGGTGAGTATCACATAGATTATGGGTAGGGTAGTTAAAATTGTAAATAGTTTCTGAGGATTCTGAAAAGAAGAGTTGCTTTGATATATGGTGGCTTTAGATAATTTGAGACTGTAAGAAAGGGCATTAGTGACTAAATCAGGTTTTATCACCACTTCCAAGCAGTAAGGAACTGGAAAAAGATATCCTATCTATAACATAAATGGTGCTGTCTGGTTCAGAATACTAATTCCTAGAATCAAGTTGATTCAAGAAATTAATATTAGAGATAAGTTATTCCCCAGGTAAGGATGCAGTGCTTGAGGCTCCACATAACTCCCTAGCAGAGCTGAACTTTGAGTCTTACTAACTGGACTTTCCACTCTCTGTCTGTCTTATCTGCATGATTCTTTAACTCTGAGTGTTTAGATCAGCAATTTCCTCTTTTAGTTTTATTTCTTTAGAGTTTATGTGGTTAATGAAAATGTGCTCTCACTCCTCTGCTTTATAGATAAAGGAAAGTTTTTTATATCAGACTTAGAACAAGAGATAGCTTTTTGGGAGAAAGTGATGGTCTGGTCTGCTGGGACAGGTGAAATGCAGCATGTTCCATCTCTTGATTAATTTTGTGGCATTTAGGGACCCAGCCCCACCCATACCCACACAGTAGCCACAGCTTTGACCTGAGGTACTGCCTATGCCCTAATTGTCTTTCTAAAGTGTATAGGCTGCCTTATATAGCATGAAATAGTGCCTCCCCTTTGCCCACAACATGAAGTAAACCCCTCTTTTTCCCACTAATGAAGTTTGTATAAATATTAAATCTTCATGTGTTCCCCCAACTTTCCTCTAGTTAGCCTGACTCCTTGAGATATTGATACACATTTTCTGTGTAGATGTTTTGGACCATTTACATGGTCTACTGTTGATCTGTTTATAAACTATTTGTCTTGAAAATTGATAAGACCAATTATTTACATTAGGAAAATAGTCTATGGAAAATATTCCAAATTCAAATATCTTTTTTATTCTTTCAACATGTACCAATCTGATGATTTCATCTCTCTGTATATTTATCTAGAAGTGTTGGACAGGACATGACAGTAGCAGTCATCAAAAAGAAAATATGAATATGAAGATCAACCATAAGCAAGATATTTAGCCTTACATAGTGGTGTTTTCATGAGAAAAAAAATATTTTCAATACTTTAAAGTGAACTATATTATTTCAAAATAAATATAGATAGTTAAAAATTATGGGGCTGAAATTAATATTTTATGTAGTACAGGCTGGTCTCAGACTTGTTCTTGCTTCTGAAATGCTGGTCCTATAGGTGTGTGGGACTATACTGAGTTAGGAACAATATCTGTATCCACTGTAATTCAAGAGAAAAGGAAAATCATTGCGCTTAATGATAAGAAATAATGCTTTGTATGTAAAGGCTGGTTACTGAATAAATATGCAAATGTCTTTACATGCCTGTTTTGCCAATTCTTGCATCATAATGAAGATTAACAAGTAGTTAAAACCAGCAACTGTGGCTGTTAATTAACAGAAAATCTGTTAATGCTTTTTTTCCTCTCTGGTAGCTTATTTTTAAAGCATTAATTTATTTTGTTTTGAGGAATTATCTAGTGCTCTCACCTAGTATGCTGTACCTGAAACTCAAACATTTTATGCCATGATTTCATGTTCACATTGCAATTGGGATGATTATGTAGGTAGATCACTCAAAAGTATTTATAATTCAATGCATGCCCCCCAAATGTTTCCTTTGAAGGTATGTTCTGTCAGAGAATGCCTGGGTGGTTCTCTGACAGCAGGACCAATCAAGGCACATCCTATAGATATATTTTTCTAAATTCTCCAAGTAAAGAAAGCAAAAGAAGCATACTTTTGTCACTATTAGTTCACTTGAAGGATGGCCGCATAAGAGAAGACTCATTATCACCTTCTTTAGATTGTAAAACATGCTATTTGTTTGTACCTAGGTTTGCAGAAGAAGTTACCACCAAGTGGCTTTGTCTCTTTGAAGGGAGCGGGATTCCATATGGTCCAATCAACAGTATGAAGGATGTATTCTCTGAAGCCCAGGTTTGTACTTTTTAATTTTGTGGATTATGTAAAGGAACAATTACCATTGACCATAACCCTAAATCACATGATACACAATTTTACTATTTGATTAAAATTGCATGTGTGTGTAAAATACAAAGAATCACAATTTAGAACCAACTATATGTGTACACTCATACTTACAAGTCTGATAGATCCAGAATAGATAACTACATAAAATTTCCAAAGTCTAGGACATGATTTTCCTGCAAAACAGAAATATAGCCAGGAGTCAGGACTCAGAAATCCCGATTTGTAGAAGTAAATATAAGTTTTACAGTTACTATCCACTCTGATCATATTTCTGTCTCAAAATGTGCAAAGCATATCAAACTTAGTTCTGTAGAGTTCAGGCTCTTTATGTGTTTGGTAAACTGTGATATTTATAAGACATAAAATAACATGGATAGGATGTGTGCTGAGCAGGAGAAGGGGCACCTGAAATTTTCTTCTATGACAGTCTTCAAATTTAGATGCTGTCATACTATTTTTACTTTATTACTTCAATTACTCTAATAGAAGCAACTTGCCATAACTCAGATTTATGTAATAACCTCAAATATAAGGGAATTCTATTTATTCCATGAAGATTTTACTGTGAGTCAAGTATCTTAACAGCTTCTAATATTTGCAAAATTATAGAATACTTTTTCTTGAGTTCTTTATCTATATATAGTAGAACTTTTTAATTTTAAATGAATTATTTGAAATAACATACACTTTTCAAAAGGAGAACTTTGCTGAAATGAATCTCTTTAACATGAATGCCTTTATTTTACATAAATGCTCACTTAAAGGAAATGTGAATGAATTAGTTCAGTAGTTACAAAATTTACTGTAGAAAAGTAAATAAATTCAGGAATTCTTTTTGTGGTTTGGTTTTTTGACAAGGTTGTGAGGTATTATTTTCACAATAAAATAATGGAGAGTTTGGGTTTGAGATTAGGGGGTCCAACTGATGTGTGTTATGTGAGTAATGAAGAAGGGACCCCAGATATCAGGGGTTTATGTCTGCCTACTCCTGGGAAGAGGTCTGTGCACGTCTGTCTGTGGAACACAAAGTTGGTGTGCACATGTCCTTAACTACGTCTTTAAGCTGTGCTTATGATATGTGTAGGACTCCAGTTTTTTTCAAATGAGGGTACACTTTTGAGATATATCTCAAAAATTTATTCATCAGATTTGTTGTTATTCCTTGTGTGTTTTAAATCAGGAATAAAGATGCCAAAGAAAAAGTAAATTTCTATATTATTAATATTTCAAGATTATCTAATTTTAGGTTTTAATTTTTAAAGAAATATTTTACTCACTACCATACTGTTGCTCAAGTGATGGTCTGATTTAGAGAGAATATAGGCCCATCTCTATTTTTGTAACTAATTGTCCCTGTGTAGTCCAGTTTAATTACAAATGAAATTTAGTTAATTTAATAATTTTCATTGCAAATCAATTGTTTTGGACTGCAAAGTTTTTGTTTGTTTTTAGTCCATGGCATATTTTTTTAGTCAATTGTTTGGACTTCAAAAGCTTTTTTGATTTTAGTCTATGGGATACAATTTTAGTCACTATGCTATCTATCAATTGCAAAAGAATGATATTTTTTTGTCAGATGCCATTTTCTCATATGACCTTCAAAGATTTTACAAAATGCCCTCTTACCCACCAAAAGTAAGTTCTAATTATCATAATTCTATCAACAGGAATATTTAATTATACTCTGATTGCTATTGATAATTGATCCATAGAAACAAAAAAGAATTGTCTTCTTCATGCACAATCAGATATTTATTTGGAATTTAGGCACAGATACATATATGTGCAGCTTCTCTGAACATTATAAATACTAGCTGACATTGTACCTTAACATTACAGAAATAATCAAAGATGACTGTGAAATTTTCAAGTGGTCCTGTTTGTTCCACCGAAGAAATGGATTGCCTACTTCCCCTTGTGCTTGAAGCACTTACTCACCTAAACCATAGAATTTTGAAAGAATTGTATAATCACACTTTAAAAATGTATAAAATAGTTTAGAAAAACACATTAATGTGACATGAAAAATTGTTTATTCAGTCAGCTTGTTGGCTTATCCCTGTAATCACTCAGGAAGTTGAGGCAGATAGAATGTCATGCATTCAAGGCTTTCCTGGGCTACATGGAAAGTTCCAGGCTAACTGGGCTAAGAGTTAAACAAAACAAATCAAAATACAAATGACAATTTAAAAGACTATTTCATTTATTTAGTTACCTTTTTGTATTTACTACGTACCACATGGTAGGAATTTAGTACAAATTTAGTATTCTATGCATTTATGAAAAATAAATTCAAAATGGACTGAAATAGCAAGTATGCAATAATACTTGTAGATTGATGAACCATCAAGTAAAAATTTAGTTTACTGTGGAGAATACATGTTTCTTAAAATTTCAAGTGGTTCTTTTGTGCCTCAGAAAAGGGGCTGAATTGTTCGACCTCCAGGGACTGAGTGCCAAATAGTGTCAGAAGTGGTTACTACTTCTATGAACATTCTAAACTGTAGTTTTTGTTTTTTAATGTCAAATGTTAAAATAGAATTTTCTCTCTCTGTTGACAATATCAAATAGAATGTTACCAGAGAGTATGAGATTATTCTCCCAAAAGCTTATTATGTTTGAAAGCTTAGTCTCCAGATGGTGGAACTGTTTGGGAAAGATTGGGGAATGTGGCCTTATTGGAACACTGAGAGAGGGCTTCAAGGTTTCAAAAGACTAACACATCCTTAGCTAGGTCTCTCTGCCTCATGTGTACAGATCATGATGTAATCTCTTAGGTACTGCTCTATAGCCGTGCCTACCAGTCTGTCATGTTTCCCACCCTCTGAACTGTAAGCCCCACTTCTTTATTCTGTAAGTTGCGTTGGTCCTGGTGCTTTGCCAGAGCACCTGAACATTTTTAGGTTTTGTTCTTGTTACATGCACTCTTGACTTACCTATGCCTAGGGACAAAGTCACATTCAGTCTAGCTATAGAGATCACTCACTGAAATCATACTCTGCTACCTTCTTTGAAAATGTATCCACAAACCCTTTGCCAAAAGTACACAGCCCTCCCTCATTTCTGATTGGCAATCATCTATACTTTTTAATTTTTCATCGAAAATATTTTTTGAAGTTGATTCCTGTTTGAAGTGTCCTCCTATTCTTTCCCTCTGATGAATTACAGAGTTTCTTGGCCCTGGGTAAAAGGAACTGGCCACTTGCATTCAGATGTGGGGATGGGTCACCAGTTCTGTGGCCTCCATGCCCCATGTGTGCTGTGCCAGCACACCTGCTTGCTCAATTAGAAATCACTTTGGGTGAAGTACAAGGAAGGCCTGGAACAAGGCACAGGAAGGAAGTCCCTGATGAGGTGAAAAGCAGTATGTTCAACTATGGAGGCGGGAAAGCAAGACAGGACACTCAAAGAATAAAAAAGAATTTTGTGTGCCACATATCAAGTAGACCACTTAGATTCCACCCATGGTTGGAAATTCTGTGTAGAAAATGAAAATGTGCTTGATGATAAAAACTATTTCTTACCCAATAATTTCATCATATGCTTGTTTTACAAGAAAACTTGAATTTTTTTTATCTCAACTGAAAAGCAACAGATGATACACTTTGTCTTGACTAAATGGAAGGTTGTCTACCTCTGATTAAATGATCTTGGTTCAAGTAACCCCTGGTTCAAATGACCCCTGTGAATATCCACTGTTAATCACAAATACTACAAGGGCTTTTGTCTGAATGTACCAATACTGAGATGTTTTGACTCAAAATCTTGAAGTGATAGTTTTATTGTTTTCCTCCCCCCATGACAAATTATCTGAGGGAAGCTCTATAGTTCATTATACAATGTAACATAGACTATCTACATGTACATTTTAATAGCTAGCCAGCTTCCCAAGTGCATTCTTAAAATACCATTTTTCCCTCCTCAATCAGGCCAAGATTGTGCAGTACATTAAAGGGATTCTTAAAACCTTTCAACAGCTTGCAAGATGACCTCATCATGGTTCTATGAGCATGCCCTTGGGAACATGTGTATGAGATGCATTGTGGTTTGAGGGTTTCCAAATCAAATAAACTAAAAAGAAAATGCAGCTTTTAATAGAAACTATTCAAATTCTTGTAAAACGAGGTATGGATCCTACCACAGAGAGGGTGTTCAAAGCACTGTTATCTATACTGAGCAGCAAGGAGCACTTCACCCTGCCTCAGTATTATCCTGCAGACTGCTTCTGTTCATTTTTGAGTATTGTCATTATATATTGAACTATTTACTTAAAAACTATGAATGATTAGGGCACCCATGGTTTTCTTTTTCCTTGATGTTGTGGCCTGAGGGTGGGGAAAGTGCAAAGGGTGTCACAAATGGGTGTTATTTACCTTCGTTTTCCATTTATACCACACAAGTTGAATATGTCAGGTGTAAGACATCCCCAGGAAGCATCACTTCTGAGAAATATTGTGAGGGAAACATCAGGATTATTGAAATATCACAGCTGGCCCTGATTTTAACTGGTGCCAAACACCTGCGGTTCTAACAGGAACCAAAACAAAGCCCCACCCTGTGGCATCATGCCATCTCTTAACAGCCTTCTCTAACTTTGCACCCGATCAAAAACATTTTCTACAGGAATCTTACTCTTCTCATCCCAGAAGGCCATTACAACTCCTTTTGTAAATATTTCGTATGGGATAATCGTTATCATAGAAACGAAGTATTGATATACTTGATGGCTGAAAACTGTTGTTTTTAAATCTTATTATTTGTGTAAGTCTGTGAAGCTAGTGGCTTTATTAATCTCAAGGCTAGCTTGTACTCTCTAAGAAATGTTACTTTAGCACATTTTGGCAAATTTCTGGGAAAAGGGGCCTTCAATATTCATATAGTAAGCATCAGAGGAACCACAAAATTAGTGGCTGCTTTTCGTGGATTCTCTCTCCTCATGCTAAATA